AGTAATAGTGACAAATACTTTTTAATATTCTTCGAAATCGGCACTATTGCTGCCTGTTATTTTCTATTGTCATTGGAATAGATCTTAATTTAGATTGAAACATTAGATAAAATGAGAATTTGAACTATTTCTATAATTCTAACACTCGCCATTCTATATTTAAAATAATTTCGATCATTTGCAGTGGTTACTTTGTTTAATAATCAATACATACAAATAGAATATTTTATTTTTTTATTTTTCTTGTTCAGATAAATCTTTTTCTCGTCTCTTTTTTTTTCAGCGATAATAGCTTGTTGAAAGAGTGTCAAATAAAATTCAATTAATTTTGGTGTATCATCATTGCTCGATATAGGATAAGTTATTATATTTGGATTCCAATCTGTATCACATAAAGCTACAATTGGAATTAATAATTTATTTGAATTACTAACAGTAGGGTTGGGGGTATGGATGTTCTAACATCTAAAAATTCACTCACATCCTCACCCATACCCACCCTCTAGTCTATACTTTAAAATTTTCTTTTGTACTATAACACTTTGGAATCTATCAAAAGATTGCATACTATGAAACAAAAGCTAACACCATTCTCAAGCATAGTCATCGAAACTAATTCTGATTGTTATGAAATAAATATCGCTGATTTTTCTCAAAATTCAGCGCTTCGAATCAAGCTAAAACAATGAATATATTCTATAAAATATTCAAGTTTTCAGAGTATTCTTGATATGATACAAATAAAAAGTTTTATTATTTATTCTTTAGTATTACTACATTTCTATTGAAAAATGTTCAAAATAAAAGTTGAAATCAAGTAATTAAATACAAAGTTATTGTAAAAGCAAATAACTATCGACGAATAATTGTCTGACGTAATATTTGTGTCGTTGAGGCTTCGGACGTGGTTGTAGCTGACATTGTTGTTAGCTTAATTGTTAATTGTAGTAGCTTTTGTCATGTCATTTTTTGATCCTGAGTCCATATGATCAGTATTAGAGAAAGAGTATCAAGAAAAAGAATTGAATACGTTCATGAGTAATTATGTTCACTGTGTTAGTATTATTTCTCGTTTCTGACGCGGACTTTTTTCTTTTACACTGATCGACTCAATAAGAAATAACTTTGCTAGTGTTGCTATGGATTAAAAAGGATTGCGAGAAAATATTATAGATAAGAAATGTTAAAGAAACAAAAAATTGTATGCTGTTCATTATTATAGAATATTAAGGGAGCATTTCAAAATGTTTGCCGTTCGGCCGGCCGCTCGACCGCCATGTCGTTCTGCCGTTCTCATACCACTCTACCGTCTTCATGCCGTTCTCATGCCGCTCTGCCGTTCTCATGCCGTTCTCATGCCGCGGGCATAACTGATTTATTTTACTTACATTTTGATATATTATTTGTTTCTTTTGATGTATGTATACGTATACACGAAGTATTTTTTTCTATTTCTATTCAATATTTTTTAGCCCTAGACTATTCATTTTCTCCAAAAACAGTGAATTTTTTAATTCGTGATAAGACTTTCGTCCAACTTTATTACGTTGAAAACGTGATAATGATATTTGTCTTATTCTTTCTTGAGACTTTTCTTTTGTTTTGAACATCAGCTATCTGTAGCTTGGCATAATAAAAACTCCTTAAAAAGTATACTTGAAAACTTAATGAAACGTATAATAGATGAATTAAATTTATAGGGAATAGCTTGTGTCAAATTGAATATGTAATTAAACTGTAGTTTATGAGAAATAGTGAAATAAAAATAGCATCCATTCTTGTATAACAAATACGACTAACTATTCTCTTTAACAGAACACATAAACTCCGTCAATTATGATATACGTATATACAAGTTAAGCCAATTAAAGGAAAAAATGTAGCAAGAAATATACACAGACATGTATTGCTAATTAATTCTCATTACATGGGGATACAATACGATCATCCAAACAATGAAACAAATAAGCTTGCCTATGTTTGAAATGGAAACTATTTTTAGAAGGAGAAAAAAAATTATTATAAATTTTCATTTCACAAAAATCATACGCATCATACATTTTGTGGTTATCTATTTATCTTTAATGATGTCTAAGGCTACAAATATCCGCGAAGCATCTCCAGAAATTGTTGAAGGTAGTGATGAATCAACGTTTGAATAAGAAAATAATAACATATACTAGCTTATTTGTTGTCAAGGACAGTCACTTTTTTTTCATCTATCTTTCTCTGCTTTTCAGTCGCTCTGCTAGCAGCTACTAGCAAAGCGACTAAAAAATCAGAGAAAGATAGATGAAAGGATGCTATTTTTATTTCACTATTTCTCATAAACTACAGTTTAATTACATATTCAATTTGACACAAGCTATTCCCTATAAATTTAATTCATCTATTATAATACATTTCATTAAGTTTTCAAGTATATTTTTTAAGGAGTTTTTATTATGCCAAGCTACAGATAGCTGATGTTCAAAACAAAAGAAAAGTCTCAAGAAAGAGTGAGACAGATATCATTATCACGTTTTCAACGTAATAAAGTTGGACGAAAGTCTTATCACGAATTTAAAAAATCATTGTTTTTGGAGAAAATGAATAGTCTAGGACTAAAGAATATTGAATAGAAATAGAAAAAAATACTTCGTGTATACGTATACATACATCAAAAGAAACAAATGATACATTAAAATGTAAGTAAAATAAATCACTTATGCCCGCAGCAGGGTGGCATGAGAACGGCAGAGCGGCCGGCCGAACGGCAAACATTTTGAAATGCTCCATAACTATTGAAACAAGTGCATAGAAACATTTATTTGATTGAAATTGAATATTTTGATTTTGATTCTTCAGAAAAGATTTGTATTCTGAATTTTAGTAAGTTTTATCCTCTTTGATTGTTTTAGTAATAGTCAAATTCGAGTCTAGTTAGACAAAAACGTCGACTTTTCCTTACTGTTTATAAATATAAATGTTAAATTGTTGGAATAATAATTCTGTATTGAGATTGTCTCGTTCAAGATTGCTGTTTGTTGGAGAATGGAATAATTTTTCTGTAGCGTTAGAAGATTCTCAGATTCATTTGAACTTTCTATCTATCTCATAGATTATATCAGGTTAAATTTTTACGAATTCTACTTCATTTTGTATTGTCATCGAAGATTTCAATACTGTTTATCAGTTTAGCTCATATAAGATATCTGAGATGCACCATTACGTACATATCGATTATTAGTCTGCTATCGTTTTATTTCGATCATCTTCCTTACAGTGAAAATTTAATTTTTTAACCATATTCATGAAGAACACTCGATACATGCGATAGAAACAGTGATATGTGTATGAAATTTCGAAAGATCTAATATCTGAAAATCTTAATGTAAAGCAGTTTTTAACAAAAGAGTTGCATTATATATAAGATCTCAATAAATGTACTAAAATCTATATTTTAGATCACAATGCCAGGTTGTTGTGGTTGTTGTATGAACTTTTGCAAAGAATTCAAAGCGTATGTATAACACTTCTCCTTTCCATTTTCTATAATTTACTCATTTTGAATAGATTTGCCTTACGAGGCAATATGTTCGATTTAGCGATTGGTATTATTATTGGTACAGCTTTTTCAAATGTCGTTAAATCACTTGTTGATGATATAATTACTCCTCCATTTGGTCTACTTATAGGTGGTGTAGATTTTGTTAATTTAGTAGCTCAAATTCCGAATTTTGTTTATCCAAATCAACCACCGGTTTCTATACGTTANCGAAATATCTTGACCACCAGGAATAAGTTCATAGGTTTGTCCAGATGAACTGATAACATCAAATCGAAGTTCACTCATAATACTAGTACATAAATAATTAATGTCGCTGTCGATATCGATCGATTGATTCTGTTCAATATTAATTTCCATTTCTTTAATAATTGCAAAACTTTGTATATCAATTGCTTCAATATCTTTCATAGTTATATCTTCACCTACTAACTGTTTCCATAGTAAAATTGGAAATTTTAAATTCAAATAATGTTTCTTACGAATAGCCATGCCCATCAATTGTCCAATGAATTTATATTGTTTTTTGAATTTATTTGAAATTGGTTTATTTGGCGGGAAAATGTTTGGAATCCGACAATCACGATTCAATCCCGTATTCGCTTGTCCATTTGGACAAAAAATAAACAATGGTAAACGTGTACTACATATATCCGAACATATAGCTGTTATCGAATCACGATAAGGCCCACCTTGATCAATACTATGCATTTCAAGATATGTTGCCAGCCACAAACGTTCATTGCTTAATCGAAATATGACATGAGCATTTTCATGTAACTGTTCAAATGCTTGATTGAATATCGTATTCTTTCCTTCATTATCATCACTAGTAGCTTTAATTGTATCAAATTTGACTTCAGGTAGTTCAGAAATAGACTCATGCTCAGTTTTTGATAATGACTCTTCGAGCCATGCAAATTTTCTCTTTTGTAATAAATAATGTTTAACCATTCTGATATAATCTACTAGAATACTTTGACCTGGCAATAAACTTAAATCAAGCGTCGATATCGTTCTTTCGACAACTATGTTGAATTGATAAAAAATTGTAGCACGAATCTGTATATATTTACGTTGAATACTTAATAGCGATGGATAATTTTTATAGAATACTGGATCAGACGTTGATTCGTTCGGTAAAGCTAAGATGAATACATTAAAAGAATCATCCATTGATAGATGTTCATTCATCAAACTAATCAGTTGTAGATCAGCAACTGCATCGAAAAGTGTATATGAAGTTTGAACGTCATCTTCAGTAATTTTGAGATTTTGACCCAAAATATTATATGATTGTTCCAAAAGTTGCTTGAAATATTGTTGCTGTTTATTTTTATCAATCAAAGCATTGATAATATTGATAACTGTTAATAGATCACGAAATTTTTCAGGAAATTTAGATAATTTGAATTTGTCATATTGTTGTTCTATTGTAACAATATCCTGAGAATGTTGCCGTTGTAAAACAAGAAATATTAAATCCATGACAACAGTTTGTAATGTTCGTATTGCTGGACTGATCATTGATGTAGTTAATAATGATAATTCAATCAATAAATGAAATAAGAAATTTTTTGATCGTACATTTAAATTGATAGTTTTACTTGTTCGAAATAACCTAGAAAATAGAAGTAATAAAGTTGGTTTTTTTGTATGTTATTATTTTAGGACAAGGTAATCTTTTATAAAACACGATTTAAAAGGAATGTTGAAGTGTATATAGCGAGAAATTTGAACCCCCTCACAAACTGTGACGAAGTCCTCTTATAAACTATTGCAGTTTATTTATTTTAAAAGATANAAAAACTTTGATGTTTCTGTTGAATTTTCATGATCACATATAAGTTGACCTATGACCGTTATTTCTTCATCATTATCAAGCTCTGAAATATTTTCTAGTTCAATCAATGGATTTAATCTTGACAAAATGATTAAATGATGTTTTTGTAAATTGTCATGATCTGATTTTAAAAATTCATTTTTATTTTCACGTATAATCGTATCAATTAATTGACTATTTGTAGTATTATATTTTTTCATGGCTAATTTTATCCATTTATCTTTGTAACCAATTGCAATTAAATTTGATGCAATCAATGAAAAAGGTGGTGCAACCAATGATTCTAATGAATAGTTTGATGATTTCATTTGTTTAGTAATCCATTCGGATTCTATTAATCGATTTAGAAATGTAATTGATTTACATTCAATTCGAACTATGTCATCATTTGTAGTATTCATGAGTAAATCTATTTCTTGAAACAAATGAATTCGATTAGTTTTTAATACAAATTGATCATTATCAATATTGGAACGTATCTGCAATATTCCATTTAAATAAATATCAATATATTTCTTTTGAACAATTATAAGTAAACGCATATATTCGTTTAATTTCAATATAGTTTTACTTTGATTTAATTTTCCATCATTGAATAGACAAATTTGACCACTATGTGTAATATAAATTTCAGATTCTGAATTCATTGAGAAAATTGTTAAATGTTCATTTGTTACCGGCAAATTAGGTATAGAAATATCGAGAATTAATGTATATTCGAACCATTCTTCAATAGATTTCGAAAGAACAAGATAAGTTTTATTACCAAATAATTGTATAGTTGATTCGTTAGTTTCATTAATATTTTTAAAATATTTCAATTCGTCAATATCAATTTGTTTTTTCTTTTTCTCCCATAGATTCTCTTCAAATGGTTCATTGAATGGAACAAGTAATTCATTTTCGAATTGTTGTTGATTTTTACTAAATCTAAATGTATTTACTTGTTGCCTATATTCTTTTAATTGTTTATAATCAACTGCTATATAAGATAGACTATAAGTAAATAGACGTCGAATATATTCTTCACAGAGTGCATATTTCCAAATACCTATATTTTTTATTCTAGCATCTATATTTGGTAAAATATTAAAATTGAAATTTGTCATTGTTTGCATTTCAAAACTCATATTAATTATTTGACATAGATTGTTCAAATAAATTTTTATTTTTTGTTCTTTTGAACATATTACAATAGCAGTTCGTATTGGATTGTCAATTTTATTAAGTGGTATTCGTACGAAAAAGATTTCAGTTGTGTCTAATGTAAACAATAGAAGATGAAATTGTTTATTTTGAATTTTGTTTACAATTTNTATGTACTTCTATATGTATAATGATAATCCAATAATCGCAATAATTTTACAATAAATGGATAATCACCAAGTTTTTCGAAAGGAAATAAATTTGAATCATTATTTGACCAAACTTTTAACATGTTCAAAATAATGTTACGAGCATAAATTGATATTAATCCATTTTCACAGGCAAAACGTGAATCTAAGTATTGCTTTTGTGAAATCTGTTGATGAGAATATCGAATTGATTTATGAATTGTTTTTCGTTTATCTAATATTTCCGTTGTAAATTTTTTCTTCAGATTTTTTTAAATCGATTAGTTGATATATATCACCTAAATTTGTTTTCGATGATTTATCATTCATCCATCCGACTATACTATTAGATATATCAAGACCATAAACCGTTTGTTGATATCATTCCTTTTCGAATCGTACTTCTCTATTCTCATTCAATTCATTGGTATCAGCATTTTCTATGCTAAGTGAATTTTCTAAAAACTTTGATGTTTCTGTTGAATTTTCATGATCACATATAAGTTGACCTATGGCCGTTATTTCTTCATCATTATCAAGCTCTGAAATATTTTCTAGTTCAATCAATGGATTTAATCTTGACAAAATGATAAAATGATGTTGTTGTTGATTGTCATAATCTGATTTTAAAAATTCGTTTTTATTTTCACGTATAATCGTATCAATTAATTGACTATTTGTAGTATTATACTTTTTCATGGCTAATTTTATCCATTCGTCTTTGTAACCAATTGCAATTAAATTTGATGCAATCAATCAAAAACGGTGGTGCAATCAATGGTACTAATGAATAGTTTGATGATTTCATTTGTTTAGTAATTCTTTCGGATTCTATTAATCGATTTAGAAATGTAATTGATTTAGATTCAATTCGAACTATATCATCATTTGTAGTATTCATGAGTAAATCTGTTTTTAGTACAAATTGATCATTATCAATATTGAAACGTATCTGCAATATTCCATTTAAATAAATATCAATATATTTCTTTTGAACAATTATAAGTAAACGCATATATTCGTTTAATTTCAATATGGTTTTACTTTGATTTAATTTTCCATCATTGAATAGACAAATTTGACCACTATGTGTAATATAAATTCCAGATTCTGAATTCATTGAGAAAATTGTTAAATGTTCATTTGTTGCCGGCAAATTAGGTATAGAAACATCGAGAATTAGTGTATATTCGAACCATTCTTCAATGGATTTCAAAAGAACAAGATAAGTTTTATTATCAAATAATTGTATAGTTGATTCGTTAGTTTCATCAATATTTTTAAAATATTTCAATTCGTCAATATCAATTTCTTTTTTCTTTTTTTCCCATAGATTCTCTTCAAACGGTTCATTGAATGGAACAAGTAATTCATTTTCGAATTGTTGTTGATTTTTACTAAATCTAAATGTATTTACTTGTTGCCGATATTCTTTTAATTGTTTATAATCAACTGCTATATAAGATAGACTATAAGTAAATAGACGTCGAATATATTCTTCACAGAGTGCATATTTCCAAATACCTATATTTTTTATTCTAGCACCTATATTTGGTAAAATATTAAAATTGAAATTGGTCATTGTTTGCATTTCAAAACTCATATTAATTGTTTGACATAGATTGTTCAAATAAACTTTTATTTTTTGTTCTTTTGAACATATTACAATAGCAGTTCGTATTGGATTGTCAATTTTATTAAGTGGTATTCGTACGAAAAAGATTTCAGTTGTGTCTAATGTAAACAATAGAAGATAAAATTGTTCATTTTGAATTTTGTTTACAATTTCAAAATCAAAACTAATAGTTCAGGATGATGTTTGTTGATTATCTATTGATAAAGGAAATCCACTACTATCTTCTGTCAAAAGTAATTGGCCATCATCTAAAGTGCATGAAGTATCAAGATGATGTTCATTGATCAAATCACATAGAACATTCATTGAATTTGTGCTACATCTTTTATGAACATAATTTTTTATATCATCATAGCAAACTGAATAGGCTCTGTACGGATAAGGAACAATCGAATTTTCAATATCGATTAATTTTGGAACTAATAATGGTTTATATCCATTTGGTAATGGACATTGTGCCATATCTTCTGGACTAATTACAAGTTCAATATGACTTAGACTTAACCAAGATACTTGAAGTGAAACAGCAGGAAAATAAACTGTTGAATGTTCATATGGTAACATGTTACATTTTGTTGTTGATGTTCCAATATTTGCTTGATGTTCAAAAAGTGTACCTAAAAATGTTCCATTTAACCAATATTTAATTCGTGTATTTTCACCATCAATTTCAATTCCACATCCACAAATGTCACCTTCTTTCCAACGAATTTCTTCCGATGGAAATTGAAAGCTATCATCGTTGTAGAGAAAACCACGTGATCCATCGTATGACCATGAATATTTATCATCACCTACACCAATGCTATGAAAACAAGCGGTCGAGAATCCTGTTGTTGCCCAACCAATTTGAACAATGCCACCGATTGGCAAACGAACGCAATAATACCATTTACCTTCCGTCAGTTGTAGATCATCAACGATGAACGTTGGAAATATGCCCCCTATACGACCAGTAGTTAGATTAATTCCTCCTTTGAATCGATGTTTTTCACCGCATTCTTCGATTAAACTAGGATGAATTAAGTCACGCGGCAATGAAACAATTGATATTTCTTTATCTCCAATTCGACCATTTTCAAATGGTTCAATTTCTGATTTCGATGTATAAGGCTTCCATCCATTATATTTCAATGCGCTTATTGATAAAGCATTCACAATCAATAGATTTTGATTAAATTCATCATGATTCCAAATAGTAAATGGAGTGTCATCTGGATTTTGCATGATTATTGTATCTTGAGTAGTTTCATCATTACTACTACTATTTTTTGTTTCTATAATTTCGTTGGACCGTACACAAGTATCTAAACTTAAACAATATTGTTCTAAATGTTTTTGATTGAATAAACGTAAATCAACAGGCAATGAATGATTTTTAAATAAAGAATCATGCATTGATAATTTAGCGATTACTAATGCGTACGGTTTTTCCATGAAAATTTCGACTAAATTTTTATCATTTAATAAATAATCTGAGGTTGACATGGAACGACGTTTTAATTCTAGTAATATTAAAGATTCTGTTGTTGATGTATCGACTTGTATTATATAGCCTAATGCATCAAATAGTGAGTGTATCATAGCATTTGAATCATTGATATTTGTAGATATAAATAGATTCGATGGGAAAAAATCTATTTGAATTCGTAATTTTTCAGCTGCAATCCATTCAGTTTTATTGGTTTGTAAATATTGAATAAAATACGGCAAAACTTCAGACGAATCCGAATTCTGATCATTGGTATTAATAGCAATAATTAATGCTAAATCAAATTCATTACTTTCTTCATTGGGATAAACGTTAACAACAGAACCTAAACAGTATGGTGACAAATATCCACCTAAAATCGATAGTGATGCAAAAACATGGTTCATTTCAATTGTATCAATGATTTTCAACGATTTCATATTGATTTCGTTTACACACGATACAATACTATTGAAAACAAGTTGTGTTGCCATCATTTGCCATGGTGATTTTAAAGACATTATTGTACGAAAGACATTTATTAATTCACTAATTGTCTCTAATGTCCTATTTTGTTTAGTAAAATTATTACCAATTGAGAATAAAAATTCATCTAATGAACTTTTCATAGTAATAATTGTTGTTTCACTTTCTGGTAATAATGGAATTATATTGCGTAAAATTTTTAATGAAAGTAAAATTGTAGCACGATTTTTACTATTACGATAAATATACAATAATTCTTCAACATAATCAATATTTGCACAAATCGATCGAACATTATCATATAAATAAACACATCGAACCAAAAGTACCAATAATTGATTTGTACAAAGTTCAATATCGATTTTTGATGATAATTTATTGAAATAAATTAATGTATCATTTTCAATTGCTGCTTTAACAAACCAATCGATTGCAGCATTATCTATCGAATACTTATTATTTTCTATCGAATTATCAATTTCGTTTTCTACATCAATTGATAATAATTGTTTTAACGTTTTCAATTCGTTTAAGATAAGTGTATTAAAAATAAATTGTTGTTGTTTTTCTACTATTTTATTAGATGTACTTTTAATTTTATCTAGTTCAATATTTTCACATAATTTGAATACATAGAAACGAAACCAATTGTATGCAGTTAATTTTGTATCTAATGAAATGATATGATTCGATTCTTTAGCAAAACTAACAAATGATATAAATAATATTTCAATAAATTGATCTTGATTTAGATAGATAATATCAATAGATTTATAAGATAGATTAAGTAAATTGAACATATTTTGTACTAATAATTTTGGTTTTAATGTTATTAAGTGTAAAATAAAAGAGAAAACAGTTTTGATAATTGAATAATATGTATTACTAATTTGTTCTTTAAGTTGATTGTTTGTTGCTTCGATATTTTCTAAATAGGACCATTCCAAATCTGAATTTCTTAAATGAGGTAAATAAAGATAAAAAATTGTCACAATACGATTTTGATCATTGATTTTTAGTAAATTTTGAATAAATTTATGAATAAATCGATATGTAATTAATCGCGTCATTGCTCGTTCATAATATTGAGACATACATTGAGAAAGTTCATCCAATTCTAATTTCTTTTCTTGACTAATTATCGATGTTGTATTTTTGTAAAAATCACCATAGACAAAAGCATCGATTAATCGATTTAAATTACTTTCAATAGTATGTCTTTCTTTAGTTTGTTTTTTAGCTAAAATCAATTTTTTTTAATCGAATACATGCTTGAATTGTATTACGAAGTAATCGAAGAACATATTTAGCTTTTGTCCATCGTGAAATTTGTCGCTGAAATGATACTCGTTTTGTTGATTGTGTATTTATTAATATTGCTAATGATGACAAATCTTCATCTTCTTCAATGATTGGTATTAAATTTGTTTCTTTGACATGTAAAAGTAGAAATAATGTATTCATTTTAATTTGTTTATAAAGTTCATCTAAATCACCACCTTGTGCTTTTGTTGTAGCAAATAAAATTTTAACATCATTTGCACATTCATAAATTGACATCAGTTTATTGTGTGGTTTTTGATCATTCATTCGTAATAATTCCCTTTTAGCGAGATCAATTCGACGATAGTGTTTAATATAAACAGCAAATAGAGCAGCACATGCATCATTTGCTTGTTGTTCGATTGATTTCAATAAATGTTGTCTATCTTCAACATGTTCTTTCATTTTTGATATTAATCGTGCACCTTCACCAATATTATTGTAAACTGACATTAAAAATTCACCATCTAACGACGATGATGATTGTTGCATTTGATTATCAAATTTAAATTGACTATAAATAGCAAGATTTGAGTTGTATAAATCAAATAGATATTTATTTTTTTCAATTATTATTTGTTCACATCCACCAGAAAATAGAAGCGATTTTAATTTATCAATATGTTTCAATTCCGATAAATTCTGTTCAGAACCAATGATCATCAGATTACTCATTCTACCAATTAGCCAACATATTGTATATAAATTATTTTTCTCATATTCATGATTGATAGTATTCTTCAATAGATATTCTATTAATATTGGCAAAATTGCTGTAAATATTGGTTGAATTGTGTTAAAATTAAAAATGTTTTCTGTTTTTATCATTAAACACAAACCAACAAATATTGAATTCAATAAATCATTGTCGGTACACATATTTAATATATAAGTGAGATAATTAATCACAAACGTTATAGTACCATTAGTAATAGAAAATTTGTGTAATTCACTTCGAGTTTTGTCGTTATTTAGAATAATTTCAATTCGAGATGGTGATATTAATCGAATTAATAAAAGTTCTTGAAACATTAATAATATTTGTTTGATTTGTTCCTTCTGTTTTAGATCTATATCGTTCGATGGATTGAAGCAAATATCGACGAATGAATACAATATTGTTGATGCAACCGTTTGTTCAGACTTGGTCGCATCGTCATTGACTAATACTTCGATTAAATTTACTAAGATTACATTTTTCTTTAGTTCTAAAAGTATTTGTTCAATCAACAGAGGATATTTATTTTCAATAATAGATGTATGAAAAAATGATAATTTTTCGACAAATGATGATACTTTTTTATCAATGATACAAATTAGAGCTTTAGATGCTTCTCGACAAATTGTTATTTGTTCTAAATTTTCATTGTCATCGCAAGTTAATTTTAATAATAAATCAAACCATAATTTGAATTTATTTTCGTTTAAAAATCTTGATAAATCGATGTCAGACTTTGGTTTGGTGGAAGAAGTTTGAACGATTTTTTTCCATTCATCGCTTATCAAAAACAAATCTCTATCAAGTGTTGATGTCGCAGTACATAAAAATTTCAAATGTGTGGTGAATAATCTTAAGCAAACGATTAGAATATGACGAACAACTATATTAGAATCCTTTGGTTTGGCTGTTGTCAATTGTTCGATAATATAAAACAGTTGTTCGAACGTATCCAGATTAAATTCAAATGAAATTGAACTATCAATTGAATCCTGTTTAAATTGTTCAATTGAATGAGTTCTATTATAAAAATCAATGTGTGCCAAAATAACAGATGCAACAAAGGGCCCAGTAAATTCTTTTTCATTCAATCAAATCAATTGGGAATTTGGAAATACACCTATTGTTTTCAAGTAGTCTAAAGAAATAGATCACATTTTGTCTAGAAAATTTTGCTTTCACAGAACAACATTCATTCAGATTAATTATGCTCACGATTAATCGGTAGTGACTTTTCTTAAAATATGTGATGTTTGAGGGTGGATGTGGGTTTCTTCCTTATAAACACCCACACCCTTCAATTCAAAGAGGACTACAGCAAACAAACTGCTATATGTTAAATGTATGTTTTACTTTTGAGAACTTTGCCAGAATGCAAATAGGGTACCAAGGACTTGTCAATTGGCATAGGCTCAGTACATCAGTGTCCGACTCGGGTCGGGTCTCGTTACAAAAAAAAGTTTTGGACTTCACGATGAATCTGCAGTCTGAACATTCCCATGTAAACACCAAACGCAGAAATCGTGCATCTAAATGCGTCTTTCTTGTGAAACGCATCTATACGTGAAAAACGTTACATATGAACTGCGCCCAGACGCATTTGAAATCTTTGATTCATATACAAACAAAACTGGACGCAGAAATTTGGTAATACAAAAAAAATATTTGAACGATTGGTGTTTTATCCAGCAAAAAATAAATATCAGAGCTTTTTATAAAATTAATTTATTCTGAAGAATGTTGAATTCTGAACAATTTTGAGGTTTGTTCTGAGGAAAGACAGAATAAATGCAATTTTTAGTAGAATACAATAGGCACAAAAATTCGAAAACATCAGTACTCTAAAATTGAAGATGATGAAATTTTAGGAAAAATATGAACGGTTTTTTTTTCCAAAAACAATAGTTTCTATAATTAGATATATTTTTAAATAATGTAATTCGATTTATCTAATAAAAATTTTTTTTCGATAATAAATATATCTATAACTACAGTAATAATTATAATTTTATATATGCAGAGCATTTCACTGACACATGCATTTGCAAATAAGTTTATAATAGACGATCCATGTATAGATTATGTTTCGTTCTATAACTAATGTGATCACATGTGGCTCAATGGTATGTACACTTGCTTTCTAATCGTAAAGTTCATTTGTTCTAAGTTCATTTCTATCATTCCAGAAAGATTAAAATTTTTAACTTTTCGTTGGTCTATAGTTAGGTAAAGACCATCACTAGGCAATACCGATGGTGACTCAGATCAAATCTGAGACGGATTGTAATACATTTTTGAAAATTCAGATATCGAGTCGATCGCGCCTGATTGCTGCGATTTCGACACAAACGAAATGCGATTCAGACTCGTTTTCATTCAAAAAATATTTATATGGATTATGTCGATAAAAAAAGGCACTTGGAATATTTGTTCATTTAAAAGTTCTATAAGAGAACGTGGGAAAGCTTAGTAGAACAAGAAGTTGTGTATTGCATAACCTTTTCTTCGACACCACCGACTTCTTTTATTGACCTTGGAGGAAAACAACTGAGACTTCGGCTATGAAGTTCCATGAAGTCTTCTGAATCGCGAGAAAAGCAAGAGTTATCAGGTTTTTATTGATCCCAGTTTTCATCTACTTTCACATCTCAAGGAAGCCGATGAAAACCTAGATTTTTACGAAATATTTTTCCGTAAATGGTACGGTTTTCACCGATTCTTTTGCTAATTTCTCTCGAGTGTTTCAGGCATGGCAAACTTTCGATGATTCAGTCTCATGTTCAGCAGTATATACACTACAAGCAATGACAAAAGAAACTATTGCAAGTTATCGGCTGGTCTTACGAAGGAACCTATCCAACTGATAACTTCCGTTTGACCTCACATTTTGTCCATAGGTAGATCTCGTACTTTAGATAAAAATTCCATAAGGGTTCATGCCATTAAGCCTTGCTTCTCGAGTTATAGTCATTTTACAGAATTCTCAGCCTATCCCAGTGTGGTATGCAAAACCCCTCAACACGGAATTTCCGCCTGGAAGTTTCCGGGATAATAGAAGTTATGGTCCTTATGATATTCTGAAAGTTTCAGCTCAAACGAATGAGTTGTTTTTAAGTTATTAGATATCTCAAAAATGGACTATTTTCAGAGCTTTTGTCAGAAATTAGTGGTTCCCAGTCAGACAAACACTGAGAAAAACGGCATTTTTACGCGTAAAAAGCGCACATTTTTGCGAAAAAAAAACCGTTTATTTTTCGACAAAGAAAAGTTTTTACAAAGTTGACATTCACCAGCTTCCTTCATTTTCCCAAAAAAACGACTAATTTCGTAAAACGTAAAAAAGTGCAATTTTTACGCGTAAAAACGCCGTTTTTTTCAACGCATGTCTGACTGAGTTTTTTCCATATGCATTATCACGGAAGAGAACCATTTGTTTGAGCTGAAACTTTCAGAATATAATAAGGATCATGACTTCTATTATTGGGGAAATTTCCAGGCTGAAATTCCTTGTTGAGGTTTTTTCATAATACACGGGGATAGGCTGAACATTTCGTAAAATGACTATAATTGGAGAAGAAAGACCTAATGGCATGAACTCCTACGGGATTTTTATCTACAGTATGAGTCCTACCTATGAACAAAATATGAGCTCAAACGGAAGCTATCAGTTGGATAGGTTCCCTCGTCAGAGACATTGAACACACGGAGTACATGTTTGGTTCTTTGAATTTTGGAGTTTATATTCTAAAATAAATATTTCAATAATTATTCATTGGGATATTTATTTTAGTAACTACTTTACAATATAAATTTCGTGGTCCAAAAATTCGGAAAAAAACAAAGTTAACATTTTAGGTATACCGAGATACTGCTCTATTAGCCCTGACACAAATCATTAAATAGATAGCGAGAGAGTCCTCATGTACGATTAAAGTAGTTTCATCGTTTTTCACATTTTTATCCTGTAGGGATTGCACTAATAGCTGTTTCAAAATGAAGAAAACCGGTAGTTGATATCATTCAATAGATCAGCAGGTATAAATATAACAATTCTGATAGAATCATACTCTTACCTATTGTTTCATTCAATGTTATGTTATCATGTGTGTCTTGTTCAAATTTATTATCGGGATCATTGTTTTGTTGTTGCTGTTTTTTCTTCTCTATTTTATTGAGAGCTTTGATCAAAACATGATTCAATCGAATGAATAAACGTCGAACATTGTAAACATGAACTTTGTTGAATATGAATTTTCTTAGAATCGGTAGAATGTCTTTAAACGATGCTTTTGCGATGGAAAAGCTCAATAGAATTTTCATAGCTTTGTTTGCCATCATGACATTTTTCGATAATGATAATTCATTTATATAATGTGCCAACGGTTGCAATAATTTGAACCAGTGATTATCAATGACTGGTGATAATTCGGATGATTTGAAAGAGTTCATTGGAATTTGATCACACAATTGAATTGCTCATGTTAATAGTTCTTCAACAAATGTTGGATCATTTTTTTCTGCTGATTTAATTAAAATTAGCAATAAGGATGTTAACGATTGTATAGAAGAATAAGATACTTGTTGAGCATGAAATTTGGCTCGTTCGATTTCTTGCTTATCAACATTAGATTCCTGTGCATCGTCATTGTCGATGGTATCATCGGAAGGTGCATCATGAAACGATTCATCGGAAATAGACTGATCAACATTTTCATT